GGACACTTTCACCCCCCTTCCTGCCCAGGCCGATTTTCAGCTTTCAGCGCTGTCACACTTTGAAAGACAATTGCGTGGTTGTGCAACACTGGACCCATATGAATTTTTTAGCATTGTTTTGAGAGAGATAAAACTTTATTTTGGTGGTATTTATTCACCACTGGGATTTTTTTTTTTTGCTACTGTAGATAAATGAAAATGTCCCAAAATTTTGAAAAAAAGTGTTTTTCTTATAAAATAATCTTTCTTCATAAATTTTGGCCAAAATGTATTCAGCTATCTTTTTAGTAAAAAAAAATAACCCAAATTAGCGTATAAGCAAAAATTATAATTTTGCTAAATTTTTTTTTACTTTATTTTATTTATTTTATTTTTTTTTAATTTGTAACATACTGTCACCCTAGCAGTACAGTGTCACCATAGTGACACTGTACTACTTGTGGGGGGTGATGAAAATGTATTTATTTATTTTTTTACATTTATTGCTTTTACACCCATAAAGGCTGTAAAAGCAATAATTTCTCCTCTCTGACTGCATTCTTGCAGCCATTGAGAAATACTGTGAGAGCTGTGATTGGTCACAGCTTGTCACATGGTACTAGGCTGTTGTGAATAGCCTTGTACCTTGTGATCTCTGTGATCATTCACAGATTTCACAAGTAGTAAGCAATGATGTCAGAAGTGACATCTTTCTTACTACAATATATATATAATCACTGATTGGCCAATCAGTGATCACATGATCGGGACATCACACAGAGGTCCCGTACAGTGATCGGTGTTCCACTGTGTCCTCCGGACACAGCGGGCACTGGATCACAGTGCTGCGTGCTCCCAGGGAGTGTTCACAGGCTGAAAATGCCAAACAGCAACCCTCTCCTGCACTGCTCCCGTCTGGCCGTTTATATACATGGGCCAGACAGGAAGTGGTTAATCTGTCCCCCACCGGCTCTAAGTATGAGAACTTATCAACCACATGACTACTGATCGCAGAGTTCTCACAGCCACTCTGAGCAGAGAGCAGGACTGAGAGTCACCACTCTCTGCTCAGCCCCCCAGCGCTCACTGGAACGCAAGGCTGTGTAGGGGGAGGGAGCGGCTGGCTCAGGTTCTCACCGTTTGGCTCTGGAGCAGCCAGGTGCTGCTCCACACTCTAATGTGGATCCTGACTTTGAAGTCGGGATCTTTTTTCAGCCTGAACCGGATAAGTGATGTCTGCCGACAGTGGGCTTCAGCCCGCTGTCAGCTGAAAATATGTCACAGGAGTGCAGTTCGTTCTGGAGAAGTACAGCCAGAAGTGCTTTGGCTTTACTTCTTTAATTCAGTGAGAAGGTATATTTCACATTTATACTGTGACTTATAGGCTAAGTTTAGACTTGCGGTTGGGAGCGTGTTAATATTACATGGGTGAGTCGTGTTTTTAGCACCACCCCGCCAAGCTGCAATGGCAGTGAACGGGGATGTTCACATGTCACAGTCACAATACAAAAACTGTCCAACATATTGCAAATAACATTCAAGCAAAAAGAGAAGCAGCGCAAATACCCCCCAGTCATGTGTAATACACGTGGCTGCGGTGCATTTGTTCACCAAAAATGGAATGAAAACAGGCGTCACTTTGCCTCCTCACTGCCTGTTAATGGCCTCTGAAAAGCAGAACACGAACCACTTTTCAGAGGTGCAGAAGGTTGAGATGCACGTCTAAACCTAGCCATTCAGTGACTTAAAGCTGAATTCCAGGTATAGCAGTCCTACATGGTTACATTGTTTCAGTTTGGAGCAATGTAAACATGTATGTACCATACCTGTGGGGTCTTTATGGAACCTGGAAATCCCTGTTGTAGGCACCTCTACTACAGTGAATGACACTAGCTTTTGAGTCCCGTGCTGAACAACTGCACTTCTGCTCAATGAACACAGAAGGCTGCCTCCAAGGCACAAGCACCATTAAGAGAGCACTTTCCATTTTCTCAATGAATGCAAAGTGTCCTCTGAACAAGCTCACTGCCCCGCCTCAACGCCTCATCCAATCATGGAATGCTTTATATTCATTGAGAAAAGGCAAAATGTTCTCTTTACTACTGCTACCTACTACAGTGATTTCCAGCTTCCACGGGGATCCCACAGGTATGGCACATACATACTAGCATTAAATCCAAGTTAAACCACTGTAGCTCTATAAATATTTGTCACACCTGGAATTTATCTTTATAATATTTATACAAGAGGATCACCAAGCCATGCTGCAACTAGAATTTGTGGCAGGAAAGGTACAAGAATGGCAGTCTTCATGTTTATGTCAAGACAGGTTTCCTTTAGGGGCAGACCTTCACCCAAGAATTGATGTTACCTTTTCTCTTTTTTTTGTGGTTCTCACTCCCACTTCTTCTTTCCTTGCCTAGGCAAGGATGACATTGCCTCAGCCCACTTCACTCGACCCTAGCCTCCTGAGATCACATCACACATCCCAGGAGGCTGCAGGACTAGTCTCACACATGTGTAGTATGGAGCTGGCTGTGAGTAATCAGGAAATGACAATCAGCTCCTGAAACCAAGATGGCAGTGCAGAAGAACAGGGACTCTGAGAAGCATCAGCTGCTGGGAAGACAGCTCTGTACTGCATGTTTAGGTAAGTATCCATTTCTTAAAAGTCAACAGCTACAGGACTTATAGCTGCTGACTTTAAATTTCCCCAGACCCGGGGTGAAGTTCCTCTTTAAGTAGATGTACTGGCTACTTCCTACTTTAAACGAAGTCCTGATTATGGGAAATTTGTTTGAATCTCCCTTTCCATTGATGTATATTCCCTCGCAATTCTGTCTTGGACATCAGTGCCACCTCTTCTTGCCTGCTTTTGTTCTTTCAGCAATCTCTTGGGCACTTATTCTACCTATCCTCTACTTTACTGAATTGCTGGTATAATTTGTTCATTTTTATTGGATGCCATGATTTATTCTCATTTTTACTGTACGTCTTGCCCTTGTGTTCCCTACTTGTCTTGCCTGAACTCTAGCCATGCCCTATTATCTTGTTAAGCTTTGAAACTTTCATGTCTGGTTTTGCCTCTTGGTTGTCTTGTCCTGTTTGTCTTTGTTCTACTGATGTCAATTTGTATAGTATCTGTTATCCATAGCTGTCATGCTTCTTTTGCTTGTTGCTTTTAGTCCTGTCATGCCAGTCTCCAGATACCTCTGCCCACCTTCTTGCATTCACCTCACTCTCCTTCTTCAGTCTGGAGACCCTACTACCCTGGTACTGTTCTTTGTGGTACTGTGTCCTGGTCTCCATCTTGCTTGTTCATCCTGTGTTTCTCTTGAACTCCAGGCACAAAGACGTTTTTAAAAAAATATATTCCTTATTGACTACAAAGGATATAAAGGATATAGAGAGCACCAAATGTCTTTGCAAACCAAACTATTACCTTATAAAAGTAGCAGTGACATGATTGCTGTGTAGTACTTATGCAGAGATCAGAGCTGTGGTGGGGAATATCTAGCAAGCCACATCCACAATGGGCTGCCTACAGAAATGGGGAAGATACAAGACCAGTCACCCTGAAAAAAAGAGAGAGAGCAGTATCTGGTCTTTTTTCCAGCTAGCTCCTGCACAAAGCTGCATTGTGGACTACTGCACACATCTAAGAGAAATATAAAAAGCATGCAAAAAAAGCAAATATAAAAAGCATGCCATGATTCAAGTACTAATTTGTATGCTTCTTGTTTTTGGAAATGTTTGCTTATCCTGGACTTCATCTAGAAGGAGACCAAAAAAAATTTGTCCTTCAAATTTGGTTCAACCTCCCAACAACTCCACTTGTTTTGGTCCAGACAAACGTGAGATGAAAACCACTAAGCAACTGTTGCCAATTTTGCTTCACAGGGGGAAAACCCTAACATTTAAAAAGGAAGGCATTCAGATCAGTTATCTAGATTAAAATATAGTTGAAAAGGTTTGCTACTTGATCAGATGGATTGATCACTTTGGCAGTACTTTTAGGCTTTATACTGTACAAGCGTCATGTGCTAGCACTAAGTGCTTCCAAGTTCTGATGTGCCATCTGCAAATTAATTTTAACCTGAAAATGTACCCCCAGGCCAAGCTCAACGTTGGAGGCATTGTTTTTTGCACAGGGTCAGAAGTGGGAAGACCAAGGAAAGCATAAGAAGGAAAGATTAGAGGAACTGAATTTGTTCTCTCTTGAGAAGAGGAGATTAAGGTGGGATATGATCAACATGTATAAATACATCAGTGGTTCATATAGTGATCTCGGTGTAGAGCTATTCACCCTGAGGTCATCACAGAGAACAAGGGGGCACTCTTCACGTCTGGAGGAAAAGAGATTTCATCTCCAAATACGGAAAAGTTTTCTTCACAGTAAGAGCTGTGAAAATGTGGAATTGACTCCTTCAAGAGTTGCTTCTGGCCAGCTCAGTGGATTGCTTTAAAAAAGGCCTGGATTCTTTCCTAGATACACATACCGTATATACTCGAGTATAAGCCGACCCGAATATAAGCCGAGGTACCTAATTTTACCACAAAAAACTGGGAAAAACTATTGACTCGAGTATAAGCCGAGGGTGGGAACACCAGTGGGAAGAATCGTGCCTCATCATTGGTGTCAGTGGGAGGAATAGTGCCCCATCATTGGTGTCAGTGGGAGGAATAGTGCCCCATCATTGGTATCAGTGGGAGGAATAGTGCCCCATCATTGGTATCAGTGGGAGGAATAGTGCCCCATCATTGGTATCAGTGGGAGGAATAGTGCCCCATCATTGGTGTCAGTGGGAGGAATAGTGCCCCATCATTGGTATCAGTGGGAGAAATCGTGCCCCATCATTGGTGTTAGTGGGAGGAATAGCGCCCCATCATTGGTGACAGTGGGAGGAATAGTGCCCCATCATTGGTATCAGTGGCAGGAATAGTGCCCCATCATTAGTATCAGTGGGGAGAATAGCACCCCATTATTGGTGTCAGTGGAATAGTGCCCCATCTTTGGTGTCAGTGGGAGGAATAGTGTCCCATCATTGGTGTCAGTGGGAGGAATAGTGTCCCAACATTGGTGTCAGTGGGAGGAATAGTATCCCATCATTGGTGTCAGTGGGGGGGTGGAGGAATAGTGCCCCATCGTTGGTGTCAGTGGGGGGGAGGAAAAAAAGTGCCCCATCGTTGGTGTCAGTGGGGGGGGGGAATAGTATCCCATGATTGGTGTCAGTGGGGGGTGGAATAGTGCTCCAGGATTGGTGTCATGGGGGGTGGAATAGTGCCCCATCATTGGTGTCAGTGGGGGGGAGGAATAGTGCCCAATCATTGGTGTCAGTGGGGGGGAGGAAAAGTGCCCATTCGTTGGTGTCAGTGGGAGGAATAATGCCCCATCATTGGTATCAGTGACACCAATGATGGGGCACTATTCCTCCCACTGACACTTGCTGACCCCTGTTCCAGTATGGTGCTGCTGCAGCCAGCATATGTGGTTGCAGCAGCACCTAAGCACGGCACACTTACCTGCATCTCCTTCACTCGATTTTTGCGGGGCCGCTCAGCTCCGCCTCCTCGCCGGTGATTGGCCACCTGTGTGCCTTTCCTGAGCTACAGTTCTGGCGGCCAATCACCGGTGAGAAGGCGGAGCCGAGCAGCCGCACGAACATCCAGTGGACGAACCGAATGAAGGAGCAGCCTCGCTTCCTGGACCGGATCGTCGTGGGACCGGAGCCAGGTAAGAGACAGCAGCCCCCTGCAGACGTTGACTCGAGTATAAGCCGAGGGGGCCGTTTTTCAGCACAAAAAATGTGCTGAAAAACTCGGCTTATACTCGAGTATATACGGTAATATAACTGGATACTAACATTTATAGGTAACGTTGATCCAGGAAGTATCTGATTGCCTCTTGGGGGATCAGGAAGGAATTTTTTCCCCTGCGGAAGCAAATTGGATCATGCTTTGCTGTTTTTTTTGCCTTCCTCTGGATTAACTGTGGGTATAGGATTATTTTTTTGTTTTTTTTTTATGGTTCAACTGGATGGACTTTTGTCTTTTTTTTCAGCCAGATATGGTATAAATGGGAACAGTAGAATAATCAGGGTCAAGCAATAGTTACAAATGATGTACTAATCAGAAGTAGGAGCTGGAGCACAGAACAAGAAGTCACTGAAATATAGTTGGCACAGCAAGTTAGTAAACTGTGCAACATAAGTGTATATGAGTCAATCTATAATCTACAGCAGCAACTACACTGAACAATCTAGTGGTATTGAAAGACACACAATGTTTTAGCTGGCCATTGGGGAGCAGGCTGTCCTCTCAAACCATATGCTGCTGAATGTTGTGAGCTGTTCACAATATGCTTCCACCCTTTGGCAATTGGTGGCAATTTTTCTGGCCACTTCAATGGTCAGTTACTGGTTGCCTAGGTCTTTCTCAAAGTGTTTGGGCCCACAATTTCTTCAGTGCTGCTCACTGACTCCTTCACTGGAAAGGTAACTCTCACCAGAGGAGTTAATATTTCAGCTGATTGGTGTTCATCCAGCAAAGGTGGCCAAATCATAGCATGGCTGCATTTTTGGATTTGTTCTGCGACTGAAGGTTCATGATCACAGGTTATCCGAAATGTTTTGTTCTTAAGACAATGACAAAGAGACACTCAAAATCTGTCTCAGTCATAAGACTTTGATCTTATCCATGTCAGGTTTGGGCAGAGTCTATGTTTCCAATCTGTACAGGAGTATCAGCAGAATCAGTGTTCAGAAGAGGCATATTTGGGTCTTGAGAAAAATGTTAGCCTTATTCCATAGGCACCATTTGGATTAGACAAACGCTATTGCTGCATGGCCAATCTTTTTCTGGATTTCAGTGGTGAATGTCACCTTCTTTTCCTACTCCAACAAACCCAGGTATTTGCATCTTTTGACCAGCTTCATTTGGATGTCATCAGGGTGAACACTGGCCTATGATTTATCCAATACAACAGACCACATGCATTACCACAGCACAACAGTGTGAATAATCCCTCAAATATTCTGCTCATTTTATTTGAATGGCCAATCTATTAAAGACAAGATGTTTTTGTAAAAAATGCCTAAATATCCGAAAGAGAACATTTTAGGAGATTTATTATAAGAAGCACTTACAGTGGATGCCAAAAAACTTGGTAACAGTTTGCAAAATGACTAGTAAGTTTAATCTGCCTTTTTCACAATCTTGAAGATGTTAAATGAAGAAATGCTGGCGTCATCTTCTCCTAGGGACAATGACGGTAATTTACGTTATTGTCCCTAGGAGAAGATGGCGCCAGCAAAAAAGGGAGGTGAAAAGAAAAAGGGCTGCTCTGCCATCAATGAGGTAGTTACTAGTAAATGAAGAAATGACTGCAAAACTAGGTGACACCATATCTATATTTTTGAAAATATGGGAAGCTTGGGTCAAATAATACTTGTGTGTTAATTATGATCATCTTGTAAGATGGCACTGATGAAGTTGATGGCTTCTTGAGAAAAGAAAATCCCCATTCAGAGATATATAATCATATTCCTCATTCCCTCCCCACCTTCCTCTCTTAGCATGTTATTTTTTTCAGGAATGTATAATATATCAGAATTCCACATATGTAAGGCATACTAGCACATGACAGAATCTAATAATCATGGAAAATTGGACGGCAGCACCCACATACACTGCTTCATTCATTCTTCTAGCCAGTATGAATAACAGACGATACCAGAGATAATTATATCATAATGCTATGTCTTCTTTATTGACTGTAACATGAAGATATTACTTGCATACAGTTGTACATGTCAAATCATAAATTTACCATGATTGTAATACTGTTTGTCAATTAAATGAAAATTTCAATAAAATGTATTAAACAGAATGCATTTTGGGCTTCTTTGCAGCTACAGTATACATCTTCTTATCCACAGATGAAACTTTCAATGTGATAAGCTAGGGACACGTCTGCTAATGCCGTATTCTAATAAATAAGTGTAAACTTAAAATATGACCTCAGAATCCATGAAGATTTAATTGGCAAGTCTAGTGATAACCCCTGGAGGGGCTGCTGGAAATAAACCAGGTTTCTTGTACTTCTTCAGTGCCTCCCAGCCCTGGTACCAGGTCCAGAAGCACACCAACAAAATTTCAGACGCAGCCTAGGAGTACCTTTTTGAAGTTTTATTGCAGATCTTGAACATAGTCAGGAAGGAAGGATGAGGGTGCAGGAGACTCAAAAACAAACATAGGTTAGATTTCTAAACAGAGTCCCGTTTCACAAGTATTGGTCCTTTCAGTAGCAGCCTCAAAGTAATGCTAGTAGTAGAGGGGACAGCCAGATAACCTGAGTATACATGAGCAGTCACAGTCCCTTCAGCAACCCTTGTTGTCTAACTCTCATAACAGTAGCACACCTAGAGCTATAGGAGAAAGGTCCTACTCACAATCTCCAGGGGCAGCTCTCAACTAACTCTGCAACACTATTCCCTTTCCATGGCTTTCAGCCATAGCACTTGCTGAGGCCTACAGCAGGCCTGAACTGGGATAAAATATAGGCCTGGGCATTTTAGACTGAGCAGACCTGAGTCCAGGGACCGTGCCAGGGCCTGTCGCAAGTGCAACCTTTGCGACCCTGGTAGTTCCACCACTTGTGTCAGTAGTTTTTTTTACTTATATTCTTTACCATTTTTTAAATTTAGTTTTTTTTTCAATTTTAATTTTATATTATTTTTTACAATTTTTTAGGAGTCCCGTTGGGGGGCTTTGGTGAGATATCAGGAGTCTAAACAGACCTCTGGTGTTCCACCTTTGAGATGGAGAAAGGAGATTGAGGACACAGCCCTCAATCTCCATCTCTGCAGCCTCAACAGCACAGAATGAGTGGACAGGAATAGCTCTGTACAGATCTTCCCGTTCATTTAGAAACTGACACATAGAGCATAGTTTACTATGCCTCAGTTACGAAAAGACAAAGTCAGTGATCGGTACCGATCACTGACTGTCCATTCAGAGAAGGAAGGGGGTGGTAAATTAACTATTTATTGGTGCCTCTCATTCCTGACCATTCCCCCCCAGTAGCCTGCAGGAGAGGAGATAGGGGAACCTGGCAGCATTGTGGGGGAGGAGGGGGGGCAGAAGCGAGCACACAGGGGCCCAGAGAGAACACAGAGGGACCAGGAGAGAGGACAGGGGCCCGGGGGCAACAGAAAGAAAATGGATAGGAGGGGCAGCATACAGAGGAACCGATCTGTCCATTTCTCTCCTGCAGTCGCTGGATGCCTGCAGGAGGGAGAGGAGGAAAAGCAGGCATTCAGCGGTGGCAGGAGGGAAATAAATTAATTGGTTTGTCTATCTGCTTCCTCCTCCGCCCCTCCTAGCCAGCCAGCTCTTGTTGGGACATATGGCCTCAAGGCAGGAGAACTCATCAGATCCTCCCAAACATCCTCCTCAGCCACACCTTCTGGGTTAGCTTACCAGGGATATTGCTTGTAAATCTCAAGCTCAGGCACATGTAAGAGCCTCCTGAGCTCCAAGGACCGAAAGTATGAAAGTGGAAGCTCTGCCCAATGTGTTTCATATAATGATTGTCATCGGGGATGACCTTCCCCAATGGCAGTGTTTACATGTACTTGAGCTTGTGACTTTCAAGCAATACATATTGGAGTAAATGTATTTTAATTGCTTTAACTGCAAATAAATACGGGTTTACACTATTGGAAGCTGTTTTCTGGTTTCTTCCCTTCCATACATGCATTGGAGGACACGTCTGAAGAGGCGGAAATAGAAGTCCTGCAGAGAGAGATCGGATGTGCTGCTGGAGGAGACACATCTTAAAGTTCTACTGACCCACCTACAATCAATAAGGGGTCAAGGAGCTCCGATGAGTGTGGTGTTCAAGAGGGGAGCAGGATTGATCACAGAGAACAAGTGAAGACACAGAACCTGTATTGCACTTTATTGAAACAATTTCTATTTGCTCAAGAGACCTTTGCACAGAATATGTACAGCACTTTATTGTACAGAGACTCTATTGTTTTTTGCTGCTGTGTTGATTGCACTTTATTAGGTTGGCTATACTTGTATGAGAGTAACCACTGAGTAATAGTAAAATTGCATATTAGGGGAAGGTGTTTTGCAGCACAGCTAGCGCCACACCAATATATTTTAATTCATTAAAATTGCATGTGCCCATGATGTTAAAACAAAAACTATGGTACCCACAATTCTCTAAAGGTAGCACTTTCAAAACCTTTGCAGCTCAACAATTTGGAGTTATTATGAATTATGTCCCTAGAATTAGTGTTACTAAACCCAGGACCCTGAAATCACTATATCTGGTCTCCCACAGTACACAGAACATGGAAATACAATTATTTTAGTAAATATAAACT